TTGAGTGTTTTGATAATGTGTAAGGAAGCAACTATTATTGTTTTGTTTTGTTTTTCCTGTTATTGGTAACTGGGGTGGGTTCAAATAAGTTTGACTTCTATCCAGTTTTGTTAAAGTTGATGTAAATATGATGAATTTAAAGGCTTGTACAGACTAACCAAAATTGCCTTGTCATGAGTAACTACATATTGCTCGAAATAAACAAATAAATAAAATAAAATATAAAAAAAAGAGACAGTCCACAAAAAAAAAATTCAGTCATCGACTCACCCTTATGGCATAATACAATAATATTTCCTTTTTTTTGTGGGAGAAAAAAAAAGATTTTGAAAAATGTAAATTTAATAAAAGTTGCATTTGAACCTAAACATTCTTCGAAATATCTATTTTTGTTTTCCACAGGGGGAAAAAAATGCATATTTGAAAGAGGTTTGCATTTTTTGATGAACTGTCCCTTTAATATCTGGAACTAAAAAAAAACAGCAGCTGCTACGGTGTTGTACGCTGCTACGGAAATGTATTATTAAAGATTTATTATTTCTAATTTGCCTATGCTCCCCTGAATATTCAGTGATGATTCTGTGAAACTGTGCCCTGTATTGAACTCTCAAGCTGGCACCATGCCCCAGTTGCAGCCGTAAGTGTAGATGATTTAGTAAGGGTTTGCTGAAAAGCTGTAGGAGTGGTATAGTGGTTTTGGCTGTGGTGACAGTCCTGGAAATTTATCTGATCCATTCTTTAGCAGTGGGCAACCAAAAAAGTCAGTGAAACCTCTGAGTCAGTGAAAAGTGGTTTTAATGTTTGGCCTTTCCTAAAGTATCAACTACCAATGATGCAACACAGGCTGTCATATAGTCAAAATAAATTTCACCAGCCAAAATATGAAAAAAAAAAAACAACAACAACAAAAAAACATTTTTTCTTGAAATGGCTGACCTAAAAGCCAATGTGAGATAAAAAAAAAAAAAAGTTACATGTTAGATTTATGGATTGGCATATTTAATATTTGTAAGGGATAATGTACAGTCAAGGCGGATCTTTGTGTTGGAGTCCCGATCAACCAGTGAGGGTTTATTTTGAGAGAATAATCAACTGGCTGTACAGTAACCCATTGATTACATGGCTCCTTCCAATTAAATGAATGGACATGGAATATGAAATATTAGGTTAATAATAAAAATTGTGTGGTCAGTCATACCGTGTTGACCTGATCAAAAAGTATTTGACAGTCGAATGCCACAAATGACCAATCTGAATCAAGTATTTCAGAGAGCTGTCTAATAAATCAATATACATGACACTTTGGCAACTGCATTTGTTGTGAAGTGTATTCAGTACTCATCAGTCATCAGAAAAAAATCTGTTTAGACCTGAGATGCCTAAATCAGGGCCTGTGTGATGACCTTTAAGCATATCTCCAGTTTGTTTTAACATTTATGTTTAATTGAAATGTAGTGAATATAACGCCAGTGTTTAAAATACTTAAAATAGTTTTAAAGTACATATGGTTATAGTTGAATTTAGACCGTTTAATTTGGTAAACAAATCTGACCAATATTAACAATATTCTGGATTTTTTTTAAATTTGTATTGTCTGTATAAAAGAGAAGAACACTAAAGAAAGTGCTGGCTCAATAATACAGTGGTTTCTTAAAAGGGAAATAGGGAAACACTACGGCCACAACAGAATTGTAAATAGGCTACACGTGCCAGTGGAAATGGAAATAACAGTACAAACGGGAAACAATTATGAAATAAAAAGCAGTTTGAGGAATGGCCTGGTTTCTTTGTGAGTTGGGCTATTTTAGTGCTTACCGACTCAGGGTTTCAAAATGTTATACTTGTTACAGTAAAGATTGATCAAACAGAAAAGGACTTTTCTGCATTTTTGCTTTTGTCAACTCAGACAAAAAGTACGTGGTGTCTATATAAACACCATAATCAAATAAAGAATCCTTTTATAACAATATGTCATTTGTTTTACAAAGCCTGCTCTCTTATATATAAAGAGCCAGTTGAGAAAGGTCAGACCAGGTTATTGGTGGCTAAGTGTGAACTAATTTGATTGACAGGTCTTCCAAATATGTGTCTGTCATAAAGGTGTGAAAGAGTTTGCGACATCACAGACTTTAGCACTTTGTGATGGTATTTATTTAAAATGTGTTTGTGGATCTTTCTGGACCCAATGAATGAGCTATCTGTTCTAAAATACATCTTTCTCCATCGGTGGCCATTGAAAAATGAGCTGTGTACAAACTTGTGTACAGAATGGGAATGCTGATAGCCAGCTTAGTCCATCCATATTTGCTAACTAAATAAATTGAATTATAGTCTACTACTTTAAATGTGATCCCTTTTCGTTTCCCCACACAGAGTAGTTAAAAAATCTGCATTGCAAAACTTGAGTAAAAAACGTGTTTTGTAATAATGACAAGCAAAATATGGTTCTCAAAACTTCCCATGTCTACCAGCACAGATGTTGCACAACTCTCAGATGTGGGAAAACATGGCCAGAAAGTTTGTGAATTTTTATAAGAAACTCCTAACCTCTAGTTGATGAGAATGAGAAACGCTAATTGTTATGCATTACTGTAACTGTCACTAATTTCTGTTTCTCTTACTGTTCGCCTGAAGAAACGAGAATATTCAACAGATATTTCAGCAACAAAAACAAAAAGGGAAGGTGGATGGTGGAGGGAGAAAAACGAGGCCCTGATTTGCTTTCCAATCTACAAAGGAAAGTAATCCTATCTGGCAGTTTAATGTGATTTTAATACTCATGTTACATCTCAAGTGTGATTTGCCCGTGTGTATGATTATCAGATGTATGAGATGAAGTTGAACGTGACGCTTGGTCCTTTGCATGCGAGGCCACTGTTTGTCTAATCTTTCTGCCTCTTATGGATTTGACTACCGAGCTAACAAGTGTGAAGCAGCTCATCAGGGAAGAATAAGCAGTGTGACAGGAATAGGTGAATGATTATGAAAAGAGTAACGGTTTGGGTAACATTTCTGAAAGAACCTAAATCCAGGTTTTACACAGAGCCAGATGCAAATTGGCAGATCTTAGACAAGTCCTCAGAACACGGAGCTAACGAAAGCTGAAGCTAGCTTCATATGAAGACAAGGAAGCTCAAGCTTCAAAGAGCATGCAAACTACCGCCGCGGAAATATTTCCTCTTAGATATGTGTGTAGAAATGTGCAGAGTGACGAGTAAATGACTGTATGATCAACAGGTTGCAATGTGTTAGAGTATGCATTTCTGTATATGTATTATGTACACAACCTTTTTTAAACGTTTGGGGTCAGTAAGATTTTTCAAATACATGCTGTTCTTTTGCACTTCCTATTCATTAAATTATCCTTAAAACAATATCTAACATAGTTTCCACAAAATATTACGAAGCAGAACTGTTTTCAATACTGATAATAAGGTGAAATGTTACTTAAACACCAAATCAGCATAATAGAATGATTATTGAAGGATAAAACGACACTGAAGCCTGAAGTAATGGCTGGTGAATAACTACATTATATAAAGCAAAATGTTTAAAATATATTAAAATAGAAAGAAATTTTAATTTTCTTAATAGTACAGTTATTTCTGTATTTTTGATGAAATAGGTGCAGCCTTGGTGAGCAGAAAATATGTAATTTGTTTAAAAATAAATCTTAAAAAACGCCAAACTTTTGAATGGTGGTGTATACATATACACTCACCTGAAGGATTATTAGGAACACCATACTAATACTGTGTTTGACCCCCTTTCGACAGAACTGCCTTAATTCTACGTGGCATTGACTCAACAAGGTGTTGAAAGCATTCTTTAGAAATGTTGGCCCACATTGATAGGATAGCATCTTGCAGATTTGTGGGATGCACATCCAGGGCAAGAAGCTCCCATTCCACCACATCCCAAAGATGCTCTATTGGGTTGAGATTGGGTTTTTGTACAGTGAAGTCATTGTAATGTTCAAGAAACCAATTTGAAATGATTTGAGCTTTGTGACATGGTGCATTATCCTGCTGGAAGTAGCCATCAGAGGATGGGTACATGGTGGCCATAAAGGGATGGACATGGTCAGAAACAATGCTCTGGTAGGCCGTGACATTTAAACGATGCCCAATTGGCACTAAGGGGCCTAAAGTGTGCCAAAAAAACATCCCCTACACCATTACACCACCACCACCACCAGCCTGCACAGTTGTAACAAGGCATGATGGATCCATGTTCTCATTCTGTTTTTTGTAGCCTCTTTTTCCTATTTGTAGTGGAGATGAGTGCTACCCGGTGGGGTCCTCTGCTGTTCATCTGCCGCATACTGGATGTTTTTCCTTTTTCACACCATTCTTTGTAAACCCCAGAAACGGTTGTGCATGAAAATCCCAGTAACTGAGCAGATTGTGAATTACTCAGACCGGCCTGTCTGGCACCAACAACCATGCCACGCTCTAAATTGCCTTTTAAAATTCTTTCCCATTCTGACATTCACTTTGGAGTTCAGGAGATTGTCTTGACCAGGACCACACCCCTAAATACATTGAAGCAACTGCCATGTGATTGGTTGATTAGATAATTGCATTAATGAGAAATTGAACAGGTGTTCCTAATAGTCCTTTAGGTGAGTGTACGTACATACAGTATTAATAAATATTTCAGAGCTGTGGCAAAGAGGGTAGTTCTTTGCACATATGGAGCAGTTTTGCTACCAGAACCCCGAGTCCTGCCTGGCTCATGTTTCAAATGAAGAAAAAAAAAAAAAAAAAAAACTCAAATCTGCACCATCCTACCAACAGTTTTCCAGCCAAAAAGCCAAATAAAACTCACACAAACATTCATCAACATCATGAACATTAGAAAGAAATTACAGTACAAATGACGTACTTGCACCAGATGTTCGCCAAGAAGATATTTTGTGTGACTAAAAATCTTAAACTCAACTATTAGTGTACGAGACCCAGTGTGTGTATAAAGAGTGTTCAGCAGATCACACTCACAATATAGCAGGGTTCACAGTAAGCCTTCTTTTCCACAGCATAAAAGGGCTTCCCTCTGAGCTTGGAACCACAGGTCATGCAGATGAAGCAGTGCACGTGAAAGACCTGGTCCATGGCGGTACAACCCGTCCCTTCACCGACCACATTCTCCCCACAGCATGCACACCGACCTGCAAAATACAGCATTGGAATTACTGTATGGATGGTGATGGCAAATTATATAAACTAAACAAAATAATTAAAAAAAAAAAAAAACATGGAGAGAAAAAATGTAGAAGTAAAGTTTAAATGCATAATATGCATATAGTGTAAACAGCATAATTTGCCATTTTCATAAAAAAAAAATTAAGAATAGCTATTTCAAATGGTTATCAAGTGGATATGGGTTATTCACCTTTTGCTCTCCTCCAAACCACACGGTTTCTGTGTCTATTTTTTTTATTTTATTATTTAAATCAGATGTTTCATCTCTAAAGTACACTAACACTTCAGCTTTCAGGTTCAGAGATAATCTTGAATAAACAGTGTGTTTGTCGCCTCTTTCAAAACAACTTTTCATTGTGGTACAACCAATGATAACATAATCTACTCTACTGAGTAATTGCCTCACGGATAAAAAAAAAAAAATAAAAGACTCAATGTCATAAGAAACAGAATATGAGGAGCATTTCTAAAGTTAGGTTGATACCATCTCCAGGGAATTTACCCTGGAGGAATTTAAAGTGTTTGGATTTTTTTTTTTCCTTTTTAAAAAGGGCAAAGTGATCGGTTGCCCTACAATTGTGGAAATCTAAGGCGCTTAATAAGGTCAGTCACTTAATAGAGACTGAGCTGATTTTTTTCTCTTTCTGAAGAGAATGGAGATCAATGCCTCACCGCTTGCGCAAATACCACCCACCATCTGTCAACTCGCCCATCACAACATGCTAAAACACACGAAGCTTATCACTCAGACGATGTCAGATGCGTAAAGAGCAGTGATATCTCATATTCAATTTAAAGACTAATAAAATCCATCGCATCTCTCTTCAGACCAATCTTCCCCTAATAGCCACATATAATGTCCCCACTGGAATGAGAATAAGATTAAACAAGACACTGGCACATTGACACACACACACACACAATCTTTTTATGATAAAACGAAACTTTGGAAGTGGAAAGAGCACAATCTTTGTGTTATAGGGCATCTGCTATTGCACCCAAAAAAGATCCTGATTGCATATTGTGTGACACGGCATTTGGATATCTGTAATTGAGTTGAAGCTATCTTTAATTGAGCTTAAGATGTCTCCAACTCAATGCAAAGATATCTTCAAACCAATTAATGATGCTAGCAGTTTAATTAGCAGTATCAGGAAATAATGCGCTTTAGAGCCATATCTTGTGGTGTTTTCCTTTTTACACATCTGAGGACAGATATGATCTCCAAAAAAAAAAAGAGAATGTGAGATATTATGAATTAATTTCCTTAACTTTAGTTCTGTAGTTCCTCATTTTTCTTTTCTCTTTCTTTTGTGCTTCATTTAAGCCTGTTTTTAGAAATGATACACTCTCTGACTGCAATGAGAGCCAGAGTTCAAGCTTGTCACAGACAAAAGGCGAAGCAGCGAGCAGGAGAAATATCAGACACGCTCCCATTTTCACTGCTGAAGCTGTCGGCGGCATCAACAAAACAGACTGAACTTTTCCGCTCTTCAGATTAGATATCAAAGCCGAGCTGAATATGAGCACCTCTTCTCAACAAAGTTTAAATCGTAGATAATTCTCCTCGTGTGTGTGGATATCTGTTCAGCTCGATCGATGCATTGCAAAAAAGCGGTACTTTTATTTCATTTTACAGTACACATTTTTTTTTTGAAACATTATAAAATAAGATAAATGTATTCAAGATGCAAACTGTGAGATTAAGAGAACACATTTTGAAATAAGTTCTGCAAGGGGGGGGGGGGGGGGGGGTTATATTCTCTAAAACAAGTCATACCTTGTCAACCCTTGACCTTGATATTAAGCTATGTTGCTTTAAATGTACACTACAAAAAGTTTGGGGTCAGTATGATTTTTTTTTTTTTTTTTTTTTTGTTTCTCATGGATGCATTGAATTGATCAAGATTGACTGGCATGTTACAAATATATATATATATATATATATATATATATATATATATATATATATATATATTATATTTAAAAAAATATATATTTTAAAAAAAATCTTTCCATTCATTAAAAATGTATTAAAAAATTAAAAAATGTAGCACTGTTTCTTCAAAACTATTAAGCAACTTAACTGTTTGCAACTGATAATAAGAAGAAATATTTCTTGAGCATTAGAATGATATTTGAAGGATCATATGACACTGAAGAGTGGAGTAAGTGTTGTTTAATAACACATTAAATTAGAAAAAATGTTATTTTAAAGTGTAATAATATTACAAAATACACCTATTTTAAATCAAATACATGCAGTTGTTATGTGCATTTAAAAAAAAAAAAAAACCCTACCAACCCCAAACATTTGAATGGTAATACAATTATTATTATTTTTTGTATCATAAAAAAAAAAAAAAAAGTGTGTGATGATAAATCCGCTTTATGGCTGATTTTGTAGGTAGCCATACAGACCATTTCTTTAATTAAAGGCACTGTGAAATGATCCGGCACATGCTTTCCATGAATTGTCACACCTATGTATGAAACAGCAGCATAATAAATGAATGTCATGTTGATAAATAATTACCACTTAGCTCTATGTTGCGTGGCCCAGGTTGAACTGTCACTAAAACTAATGTGAGTTACTTCACTGACGCTGAACTCTAGATAATTCCCCCTTCCATCCCGCTGAGCTGTACCTGCAGCAGGGTTCCGCTGAGGAACAGCACAGAGCAGGCGGAGGAAATAAAGTGGAGCCGTATGCCTGCCGCAGCTCCCCAGGGGACCTGTGGGGGTGGGAGGAATCCCAGGCAGAGGTAATCACTTCAGATGGGCTGAAACAAGAGTGGCACTGGATCACAGGCCCCTCTGAGCCAAACCAGTGTGTGAGAGAGACAAGCACAGAAAAAGAGAAGAGAGAAAGTAAGTGAGAGTGGGGAATACAGCCAAGGGATGAGCGCAGGTCACCCTCAGGAAATCCTCTTTTCCATTAGTAGGGTGGGAATGCCTTGGACTCTCAGGAGGTACAAAGAAATCCTCAAATGCCTTTATAGGTCACTTTTGTCAGGTGACGGACCAGCTAAACAGAAAATGCAGAGCACCTAACACTCAAAACAATTACCTAAGTAATGTACTTACTATCCTTATACCCTATATGTTAAATAAAAGATACACTTTTACAGATACATAACTTGCTATTTAAAGTAGCTTTAAAAAAACGGGGAAAAAAAAAATATATATATATATATATATACATATATAGTGTATTGTTTAATAAACTGATTTTGATATATTTAGCAAATTTCATATTACTATTTATATGTGTGTGTGTGTGTGTGTGTGTGTGTGTGTGTGTGTGTGTGTGCGTGTGTGTGTGTGTGTGTGTGTGTGTGTGTGTGTGTGTGTGTGTTATTAGAGGATTATTTGGTCAAACTTTGAAGATAATTATTGGTCACACTTTAGATTAGGGTCCAATACTCACTATTAACTATGCCTTGGCTTTTGCCTCAATAAATTCCTAATTACTTATTAATAGTTAGTAATGTGGTTTGTTAAGTTTAGGTATTGAGTTGGAATTGGGAAGTATTAAAGGATGTAGGATATGGTCATGCAGAATAAGGCATTAGCATGTGCTTTATAAGAACAAATATATAGCCAATATCCTAGTAATACGCATGCAAAAAATAAATAAATAAATAAATAAATAAATAAATAGATAATAATAATAGCGAGAATTGGACCCTAAACTAAAATGTTCTCAAGTATCCAGTAGGCTTTGGCTTAAGTGAATTTAGCAGTCGCCCGGGTTTCCACAGGCTATAAGTCACATTTTTCTCAATATTGGAGTCAGTTGGGAATAAAGTTAGAGGACCCACATAAATTACATCAGCAGCTCTAAAGAAATCTACAGTCTCACAAACTGTCCAAAGTCACCCACAAATATACAATGTGAAGCCTAATATCTGCAGGCAGGAGATCAGCGAGTTACAATCGTCTCTGTAAATGTGAGCCTAAAGGCCCTTTCACACTGAACGCGATTTTGACGCGCGAATAATTCGCGCGATGGTTTTATTTTTTGATCAGCTGTTTGTGTAATGAGTGCTTCCACACAGAACGCGAATCTGCTGCGGATTCGAAAAAACGACTTTTATTTTTTTCGCTTCGATGTCGATTTTTGAGGCAAAAGAAAAGGCTTCAGCCAATCATATACAGGGAAACAAAGGTGACGTGACCGCAGCAATGACGGACGGACCTTCTGATTGCTTGTGTGTCGAGTCTGTGACTGTGAATGAATATCTGAAACAAGGACCGGTGGGACGTTGTGCTCGTTCGTTCGTATCGAGCCCAACCGGGTGTTTACAAGGCTTTTCAGTCCATTTGAGCCTTCAATACGTTTACTAAAAGTGTTTATTTGATTGCATGTAAACGTAGCCCCTGATGAATGGGACAGCTCACCTTCTGCCATATGTTTCTAGCTCCGGTAGTGGGTGCCCCAAACCTTCTTTTCTGCTTTTAAATAAAATAAAAAGCTTGTCTTCACTGGATGATAATGATAGTGATGAAGAAGCTATGTGCCACGTCCCGCAAGTCATAGCACTGTACCGCATTTTTTTGTCTGCATCCTTTTATTTAATCGTCCTTTAAATAACAATTCTACAATTTAAAAAAATGTAATAAGAAAACATAGAAAATGCACAGCACAGACGTTAATGGAGCCATCACAAACAAACAAACTCTTCGTGGAGAGAGTGTTTGCTCTGATGAATGCTGCGTGGACAAGGAACCAGGCAACTGTGGACCTAAAGTGAACTGGTGAAAGTGAGCTCCACCTGCCAGTAGTTACTGCGAGTTACTGACATGCACATAATTAAAAAGAAGGTCCAATCGAAGCTGCCAGATCATCAGACAAACAATATAAATTCAAAATGCACTGATCGAATCCGGTAAGAACGCATTCATCTTTATCTTTCCTAATGGACTTATGTGCTTATTTGAAAATGTGCTATTTAGAGATTGG